TTACGGGTTCAACTTCTTTTCGCTTCTTAAGGCAATTATGGATGTATTAACATATGGAGCTAATGATTCATGGTTTGTCAAGTGTTATAAGAAGTACGAATTTTTCTGTTTTATCTAAATGAAAAACTAACTCGAATGCAAACTATGAAAGAAGTCTGATTAACTGAGGTGAAGAGAGCTAAAAGACATCTGGTGGCTTTTGACCCGGCCCAGATTCTATCACGATTGAACAATAGGACCCGTGCTCATTGGTCCATCCGTCTCTCTCACAAAGAATGTCCCTTGTAGTTCATGTTTCACTGGACGTTTGGTCGTGTGCAACACATCATTTTGAATGAAAGAAAGACGTATATGTGAATTTGTACTTTTAATAGCTAAGTACAGGTAATGTATGAAAAGGAAAAATACAGTAATATCTTACCTAAACGATGCATACTAATGTGAACTATTAATTACAGGTTCAACGTCTTTTCGCTTCTTGAGGCAGTTGTAGATGTATAAACATATGGAGCTTTTGATACATAGTTTGTCAAGAAATATGTTTTTTTTATAAGTTTAATACTAATTTAAATGCAAACGAACTGCTTGTATAATGAAAACTAAGAGCCACAATTATTCCTTTTCATACCATGGAGAAGTGGTTTGAATATTCCACAGGTAATTATGAAGCCATATTCACACAGTATGACTGATTACATGTAATAAATCTAAAACCCTGTTGACAATGACGAGAGGCTGCAACGACCACGATAAATATAAAATTTCCCATTATGTCTCGGTAAAATTGCAATGGCTAATGGTTCAATAAGCCCAAGAAGAGCTATAAAAAACGAACGGCCCTAGATGATAACCCTATCTTGTCCCGCCGAAGTCTTCACCGATGCCCTCCGTTACCCATCCATAAATATAGTCAAAACAAGTGCATGTAGCTGAAATTGTTGACAGGAAAATGTATACCTATACATTACCAGCCATCTTTATGGATACAATAATAATATCAGTTTGTATCACTCAAGAAAAAATATGCATAAGAGTGTGACATTATCTTCTAAAATATATCCACGGACATTTCATTTTGATATAAGTTCACGGTTCATCTTTTTTTTTTCTTGAAGCGCTGAAGTGTAAAATGGTAGAATAAGCTGATAAAGAGTGGGCTTGTTAAATATATTTACAAGTGCCTAGAAATAAAATTATTTCACAATTCTGTACTAGTGATTTGACATTGTACCTTAGGCCAGGAGTACATTTCAATTCAAATCAAATGGATGTCTACATTCATATTCTAAAGATATCCACGGATATTTTGTCTTAATATAAGTTTACGATCCATGGATTGTATATTTTGCTCGAATTGTAGTAGTGTGAGATGATGGGAAAAACTAAAAAAAAAAGACATTTACAAGAAAGTTACATAATCATTGTATAACTGTCTAGTAAGGCATGTTTTACATAAGGGGACAAGGGCCTACTAACATGTCTACATTCATTTTCTGATTAATCCATTTCAGCCTTTTTCCAATCAAACGCCGGCTCGAAAGCCTAAAGTAGGTTATCTCAAATGGGAAATCTTAGAGAATTCCCACTGCTTTAGCCAAACGTTCTCTCCTATCTATGGCTAATAGTTCAGCTTTCTGAAACTCATTGCCACTGCCGACGGGCAAGTATTGATCTCTTTGGGAGTGATTGTTTCTAAACTTTGATTATAGCCTCGGGGTGTGGCAAAGGACTTGCCGCATCAGCATTTTAAAGATTAAGAAAATCCGTCTGGATCCGCAAGAATATTAGTAAAAGCATTAACATACGCTTCTACCAGTGAATCATACTGTCTATCTTTATTGCAACATATGACAAAATATGGTGACTGCAAACAAAGTTTTAGACTTATATTCATGCCGCCACTCACAATACATAATACATTTGACGAGCACAGCAATTGTTTGTCATTCAAATGCAAACGAACTGCCTATATAATGATAATTAAGAGCCACAATAATTCCATTTCACATCATAGAAAATTGATTTGAATATTCCACAGGTAATTATGAAGCCATATTAACACAGTATGATTTCGTTGCACGTAATAACTTTAAAACGCTGTTGCCTCATAATGTCTATCTTTATTTCAACATTCGACAAATATGGTGACTGCAAAACAAGTTTTAGACTTATATTCATGCTGCCACCGACAATACATAATACGTTTGACAAGCACAGCAAGAATGTACATATTAATTAAATGATGAACATGACCGAATATTTCCAAAGATTGATAGGACGGACATCTTAAAAACATGAAAACCATTTGAAATTTGGAGTAGGAAAAATGATTGTAAATGGAGTAATAATTTAGCGTTATAAACGGTTGATAGAAATGTAGAACCTTTTAAGAATAAAGGCAAAAGAATATCATCTGACAGATTATCAATGCCGGTTACAAAGCCTATCAGTTTCACTGCCTATTGCCACGTATGCTTCGGGAACATAAACACGAGTTGGATGTGTTACTCTTAGCTTTCGAAATAAATTTTATTTTCATTTTTTTCAGATTGCCAACTGTTGATTTTTAATCAAGAACAGTTCTTTATTTTAGATATTGATGATGATGATGATAATGATGGTTATGATAAATGTTTTATTTATTTATTTAGATAATTTTCAAGACTTACAATGCTGCAGCAACCTTCAACGGCCTTAAAACTAAAACAATAAAGATACATTATCTCAATATTTAAACTTCAATTGAGCAGGTCTTAGTAGGTTTTTGCAGCGCTTTATCGTTGAGAAGGTCAACCGGGTAGGTCAGTATACTCTTACGATGTATCATGGAAGATAAACTCCAAGCATATAGTGTACAAAATATGCAGTTTTAATAAAAAAAGATGATAAATAGGTTACACATTGTTTTACATTGAGGTCATACATTATTAGTTTATTATCTAATGCTAGAATAAAGCTTGCCAATGTGCAAAACTATGTTTTATATATATCCTTTAGACATAAATTGTCAGGTGTAAATTGAGCCCATCTGGTCGAAAAATGCAATATAGGTTTTTCAATTATTATTGACATTTTCCATTTATTTCAGTTTGCCAAGGATGAAATAATAACTGATTTTTGGAACTCTTCCTCACCTGCAAACCCGGTGTCTGTGGCCTTGTTGACACAGTGATGTTCTCGACAATGATGTCTGCATGCGTCCTTAGTAACATCTCGGCAGTCATCTGGTTCTATATTGGCTGCTTAGCCACGTTTGTTTTTAAAAAGAAAAGCAAAACGATATAATAAGACCAAGCCAGGTGTACATATATTGAGACACGTGTTTTAATTATGTGTTTATTTGATTTTCTCGTCAAATTACGGGTTCAACAAATACAGACACCATTGTCACACGTTGAGCAACCAAACATTGCGAATCTAAGTGTTCTACATCGATTATTTTATATAAGCGGCTTGTACTTTGGGGTAATTTATTGTACTCTGGACAACGGAATGTAGTGACCGATACAATTTATAGCTAGTTTATTTCGAAAACGCATGTTATCAATTCATTTTTCCAATAATGACATGCATCTGACATGGTTACAAAATGGCCCCATGTTCTGACTGGATGGAATTTATATTCTTAATTGCTTTACAGTTGCAATGTAGATCATTTCATGGCCATTGAAGGTTTTAGTCTGAGATTCGCAATGATTTATTATTGAGTGAAGAATACTACCAAATTTTTCTTTGGTGTTTCAATTTGGACATAAAAGGCATTTTAATTCTTGACAGGATAGAATGGTCTTCTCAGATATCTAGTTTAGCTGTAAAAAAAGTCCACTCGAAATCGGGTCGATTTTTGTCAGCCAAAGACTCATTAATAACTATCGAAGATAAATTGAGAAAACATAAGTGTCCTCAGAAGGTGAATGTAGAAATAAGATTTTATATAAAATATTGATTAAACCAACACCGTATCAATTTATGATTGAATTTTTTTCGGAGGCGTTATATAATTATTAATTTTTGGCAGGCCTGTGCCATTTTTTAAACATATTGCAAACATATTCCTTTGTAGATCATTCAAATGTTGCTGTTAAGGGACCTTTACGCTGTTTAAGCATTTACCTGCTTGGTGGATTAAACAATGCTGGCTGATAGAGCTGAAATGTCACATAGCTCAGTTCACTTTAACCAATTAAAACAGCATTATTAGCCAGAACTCGGCTCCAAGTCGCCCTTCAGAGTTCGTTAACGGTGTGTTTTTAGAGTGCTGCATCAGCCTTTTCCTTTTGGTGTGTCAGCCATGAAATATTTAAGATGATTGAGAGGACGGTAGCGTGCTGTTAACGCCGATGATTGAATAGAAAAGCGATCTGAGTTAACATCCCGGGTGACAACACAATACAAAATGTCACACGACCGTTGGGATAAATGGTGCTCTCTTTTTGGAGACAATGGAGGGGCAAGGGACGGAGAAGCTGTACAGCACTTACCGTTGTATTTTACAGTGACTTTGCCGTTGGTCACAAGGGACTCTACGGTGCCATTTGCAGCCATGGTACGGCAGTCTTCCTCGCGGCAACCTGCGGCGCCCAATCACTCCTCCACCGCCCCCATCCGAGCACCGCGCGTTACGGGCTTACTGTTTACGATAACCTCCCTCCTTAGCACAGCCGGCAACTTGGAAAATTCAATTTACCATTAGCACCGTGTAGACTGCATCATGCAGATTCATCGTGCTCATCGAGCATCATTATGCATGCATGGGTAACACATTGATAAAGCCCGGCGGTGATTGGGGGATGAATAATGCTGCAGTGTACAGATACTTACACCGTATAAGACGCTGCCCCAGAAGTGCTTTTCTTTCCCCCGGCAATCTGGAATGGCACGATCACGCAACAACCGCCTCGCTTGCCGAGATTAACAGTTAATAGACTATGACATGTGACGTATCGCGAAGCAGACTTGTCCAATGCTCACGAATATGGCTGAATGCTATACCCATTTGTTTAGAGAATGGAAACCTGTGGAGGTGGAACGCGTACGATGTTCCCATGGTATTTCAACAAGGACCTGCTTGGTAAAAATCGATTATTTAGGCCCACAAAGAAGGGCGACTTTGCATTAACGAGCAGTTTTATAGAAGCATCCCTACCCACCGTTTTATAGTGAAGATTGGAGGACTATTGTAAAGCTGGCTGCACGCACCAGCTGCATTAAGTGGAATACAGGCCCTTTGCACAAACCTTGCACATATGTGTGTGCCGCTGTGGTATAGAGTTTAAGTAATTAGTATTGCTGTTTTTTTCCTAAATAGCAATGTGTTCTAAGATCTTTGATGTTTTTTAATCATTTCTTAACAATGCGATTTTAGCTTAGCATGAAAGTTCATCTGTGTTGGTACAAATCATTATGAAATAAATACGTCACGTTCCAAGAGTAGACGGGTCCATTCTGTGAACAAGGTTGATGGAGTCAACCGAAAATTTGGCGTAAGTCCCAATTCTGTAGTCTAAGTGTTGGAAGTTAAAGCTTAGTCTTTATTTCATAATGTAATTTTAGGGTGGCAAAACTAGCTGGTTCGGCCTGATATTAACAAAATTACTATTTCTTAGCACATTTACGTTATTTCCTTCTATTGAAACTTCCTTTTTTGAACCGGGGAAGAACCGTTAAAAAAAGGCAACAAAACATGATCTTAATTTTGTATGCGCCACCTATAAATGGCTAGAACTAAATTACAATACAAACCAAGCAACTGTATCTGCATCTGTATAGCCGGTATAACCGCCCTTCGGCGTAACACACCAGCTTCTGTATCTGTATAGCCGGTATAACCGCCCTTCGGCGTAACACACCAGCTTCTGTATCTGTATAGCCGGTATAACCACCCTTCGGCGTAGCACACCAGCTGTTTTCCGTCAGTCCCTACCCATTATTTTTTGCTCCACATATATTAGTGTGCAACGGGAAAGTGTTGATTCAACTACGTTAAAGAAGTGACTAATAAACTTAACATATTTAGCTCCCTTCAATTGCATTGGATGTCATTTACTGCATTGCCTTGTGAGTTCAATTTTATTTCCGCCTATTTCTAATGCGTTGCTTGCCTCATCGTCAAGTAATCTTACACTTCGCTGCTCGCAGAAATGTTTTGATTAAAGAACTTTCCACAATTTAGGGAATGATCGTGCGGATATATGACATTTTGCGCTCCCAATTTTACCCGACCTTTCGTGTATGATTCGTGCGTTGGCATTTACAAATTAATAGCACCAAACACATAAACCTAAGTTGGATTTTCGTTGGTATTTATATGCGAGGACTGCGGTACATAGCAAGCTATAATGAGAGAAGACCGGGATTCAAGTACTTGGACAGGATTCCACAGGAAGAGATTGATTTGAATAGCATCGGTTTGGGTATATCTAGTGTGTATGATAAAATGTAAGCCTTGCTTTATCTGTATGTAATGGTAACGGGTGTTTACTATACTGTTTATTTGTTTGTTTGTTTGTTTGTTTTAGACAGGGTAAGCAGGAAATATTGACGGAAATAAAAACACGTTGCATGCATTAGTAGTTACAACATGTTAGTATTATAAAATGTAGATGAGATGAATTGACCTGGTTTATTAAAGCATTATTTTACACACTAAAAGTACAACATTATAGCCCTAACTCTAAATTGTAGCGTACTATCATACATGCTAAAAAGTATAGTATATTACTTAGACTAAATATATACATTTCGAACTTACAAAGCATTCAAGAGTATTCATGAATCTAGATATCAGACATTTGAACTAGCAAAAGTTGTTCGCGTTTCTAAGCTCGTGGCCATGTGACTACCCATGCGTTTTTGGTGTAGCCATTTTTATTATGTACATGTAGACCTGAGCAGGGCTTTAGCAAACCTAATTTTTTGATATTTTGTGTGTTCCCTAAAACTACGTAATTCAGCCTTTTGTACAATGTATTGTATTATTAGGCTGCAATGTTGTTTTATTTTTATGTCAATTTGCAAATAAACCATTTATAACAAGGTAGTGGTTTTTCCGTTTGTTTTATAAAGGGGGTTACACCACAAGCCTGCAGGGCTTATATGTATTACCCAAGAATCCCAAATCAAGTTATATGATCAATAGACTACTGCCCTACTTCTTAGTTGATATCAAAGACTTAATCTTGATTTTTCCACCTGTATTTTAAAGAAACAACGGATCCCTATATATATTCCAGCTGTTATTCGATATCAAGCGATAAAAAGCATTGATAATGTGCAAAACATGGAATTTTACTTTTTTTTCAAATCTATACCGTCTGTGGTTTGGTAGCTGGTTTTGCCATTCAAACCTTTTCGAAGCGTTTAAGTTTAAAAGAAAATGTAATGTTGACTTGGAAATGTTTCAATTATCTCAACATACTAATTCAACCAGATTCTAAAAAAATTGAATTAATGGGTTGTCTGAGGCATTTAGCATAAAATAAATAGAGATCGTAGGAATAGAGACTAAGGTGAAGAGAAAAACAGCATCAGAAAATTCATGATGCCATGCTACTGAGAACGAATGTCACTGGGAGAGCAAACGCATTAAAGCAACTTTCAGTAAAAAATGACTTTGCAGTTTTTGATGTGACTTCATCGTTAGTAAATCTGTAAAAAACAGGCAACACACCTGCACGGATGAATGTTTACTGTCTTAGACGTTGTTTCACATATCTTTTATGAGCGTTTTGTCATGATGCACATGGTCTAGGCAGAGGGAGGATTATTGCAAAATCACGCCTGCCTCCGGTCTAATCACCGAGTTCGTGTTTGGAATGTACTTTAGAATATGAATTATTGAACCAATATCTTCAAAGTCAGCACTTCTAATTTCGCCGGGTACCTCAAGATCGTCCCATTTTGAAACGGTGATTTTTAAAGAGATATCAGTATATGTAATATGAACGGTCAAATTCCTGCTATTACACAGTTATACGTATCAGAAACAAATATATTTCTTCGCTGATTAATACTTTATTTACATAACATTTACCTTAATTGGTTTTTGTTATTCATCAAGATATCAAAACATAACAAGGACAGTGTGGCCCTGCACTCAAGTTTATAACTTATATTAACAGCGCCACACAACAATAAAGCACAATTAGCATTTAAATACACACAAAGTTGACATATCTGTGCGCCGTAGTCCCACCACCCCAAGACACTGAAAATATTAATACTAACGAATTTATTTTAAAAATGAGATTACGTGTTAACCTCCTATATCTCATTGTTTAATTGTTTAATTCTGTTTCTGTGCATCAGACAATTACCCACTTTACTTTTTGTCTCGTGTTGTTATTACTATTTCATGTCCAGTGGTTAGTATAAGATAAGATGATATAATGTAAGTTAATATAATATATTTTGCTTCATTGCGTCACCAATATCCATTTTTTTTTCAAATGCTCATGTCAGATATTCATGTGCACAGGGGGACATAGTGTAGCAGGAGCCCCTTAGAACAGAATAATGTGCTTACATTATGTATCATTTTTGTTTAATAATCACCTTAGATATATATTATTCATTGTACAATGGAAAGAATAAGTTACCCACACATCAGTAGGGACAGATTATTGTTTGGATGTAGCAGATATAAGCCAAACCATAAAAAGGGTAGGATGTTTTCTTAAAAAAAAGAACACAACTTTCTTATAAAAGGACAGAAAATACCAGAGTTGGCTACGTTGCTGCTTATAGAGGAAAAATGCTGCAAACGGTTTTTAAGTAGAAACATATATTATCTATATTGCATATAAAGTATAGTGTGCTTCCGCTGCTAGAGTGACTTATCATCTTTGACAAAGACAAATGAACCAATTGTCCGATCTTTTTATGGATAAATGTGGGTCGATTAAGGGGTCTCGTGAATTTACATAAGGCCATGCGGGTACTGCCATCTGCTTTGTACAGACAAAAAGCACATCTGACAATCATTCAATAGAGCCTCAATATGAGCTGATCCTGTGTCCATAATTCAATCAGGAACATAGGTGGCATGACTTTAATCAATTTTGTTCCCAAATAGTGATGCGTTTTAAATGAATTACTACCAGCATATGCATCTGATTATTACCATAGGAGCAACGTATTATGGTGGTATAAAAGTATTATGGAATTTCTTCCCAAACCCGTGCTTCTATGGCGAATACCATCGTCGTCAAGCTTTCAATCAAAACAAACATCCACCGCTATATTTTGGCATAGCCATTTTCTACCGTATACACCTAGCTTTGTACTAGGAAATAAAAAAAAAGGCCTTCTATTCATTCTGTAAAAATTCTCTGATTCGTAGCTTCCTATACTGTTTCTCTAATGAAACCAGAGAAGACTACTTATATGTTAATGCCCCGACCCAAGGTGTATATAGTGAGATAATACCTGGTCAGGTGCGATTTCCACCGAATAAACCACCAAGTGAGCGTAGCGAACGAGGTAGTTTATGCGATGGTTATCGTACCTGACCAGGGAATATAACACCATATACACCGATGACATATATATAGCCTATCTAACTGACACAGTTTTGGCACAAATTCCTTGACAAAATTCATTTATTGCCAAAAAAAACTTGCATAAATCTCTTCTCTAACTGATTTGGGGGCTAAGATTGTCTGGAAGTAGAAACAGGCAGCCACTATATATCCAAATGAATGTTTTTTTGACATTTTTTTATTACGGCGTGAACCCAGCACATCAATGATCTGACAACATACATTTGTGCACACTGGAACCGTCTGTAACCCCATCGCTGCTTCATCTATAATACATCAATCTTCCAGAATGTTTTATGAATGGAAAATTC